CTCGTACGCACAACTTAAGAACAAATCTGTGCGTACGAATGGTTCTTGCATGAGGCCCATTTTTCTTTTATTTGTTAATTATTTTAACCTAAAAAACACTCCAAAAGTGAAAGGCATTGCTTTGAGTGCCTTCTTTTTCATTGGTGGGGTTGCTGCCCATCTCTGTCACAAGTCCAATTCAAATCCAAATTCAAATCCAGTTTCAGTCATTTCAACTGTCAACACAAACTTTCCATTTGCATACAGTACATCATGAAATGACAATTAGAAAATAATTTCTAAGGAAGCCAGCAGATTGTGATGAATCTTCGCTCCCTCCAGCCTGAGCAGCATGTTGGCAGTGGTGGAAAGGAACWACTCCTTTTGAACAGGGAGAAACCTCTAAGAGAACCCGGAGCAGGATGAGCCACCATCTGCCTCAACCGGCTGGGGTTTAAGAGGCCAGGAGAGAGACGCAGATGATCACAGGAGGACTGGACCAGGTGGAGTTTGGATTATTGATGGCAGCAGTATGGCTGCATGTTTTTTACAGAAAGAGCAGAGAGTGCGAACGTGATTAATTGTCTTCCAGCAGTCTGAGCCTGCAGCAGCTTGAAGATCCTTCTATAGGATGGAACCTGGTTGTTAAAAGTTTTGCATGTCAAAAGTRAGGTGTTCAAATCTTTGCTGAACTTTACAAGGAGCCAACGAAGACGAGCTAAATTCTTCTAACTCTCATCATAACTCCAGCAGCATCTTAGATCAACAAAAGGCTTTTTAGAAAGATTTTTTTAAATCCTGATAATAATTATCTCAATAATATAACTTAAAGTGATGAATGCATTGAGCATTTTTATAGCCAATGTTTTGAACTCAAATGTTTCATTTCTTATAACCCAGGAGCCTAAATACAGACAACATGAAGTCTGTATGATAAGATGTTTGATGCTGTTTGGACTAATCAGCTGCAGGACTGAATTTAAATGAGCCATCCTCCTCTTTAATAATTATGTGGAAGGTAATTGATTTTCATCAGCAGGGAAATCAGAGGTCACAGTGAGTTACACACAAACAGGAGTTTAGAGACGTAAGAGTTTTTCTCAAGGACACACAAGGAACCAATCTTTGGAGAGAAATGTTTGTGAAGTCTCCGTTTTAACTTTTTTCTTTTTTTTTTTAAAGAATGCAAAAAATGCTTGTTTGACAGTAATATTTGTTTTTGCTGCAGGCTATGTTAAACTGATATTTACATGAATTATTTCAGGTTAAAAACATTGTAAGAAAGGTTGAGGTGGTAATAAAAAAGCAAAAACAAAACCCTGTAATCTGCAATGGAATCTGAGTCAGGTAAACTGAGGAAGAGCATAAATTAGATTCTCACCAGTTTGATCAATACATGTTTTTTTCCTGTTTTTAGGCTCTCCATTTGTGATCAGAATAGTAAAGTTTAGATATTTCAACAATAAATCCTGGCAGGTATTGAGGCCATGCACAAAGGTGGTTCCAATCAGTCTGGCTGAGGTTTAAATGAAGACATGTGTTTTTAAATTCTTCTTTTTTTTTTACATATAAATCATTGAGTTGGGGGCTACATAAATWGTTTTAGATCTGAATTTCGCCTTATTGTAACTCCACAAGCCCCTCTTCCCCATATAGACACTTGGATACAAATTTTGTGTGTGTCTAGAGACTCGAAGTCCAAAAAATGCATTTATTGTCTAAAAAAGGTGGATTTTGCATGATACAGTTTGTCCTCTTTGTTAAATGGAGTTTTTATGGATGCTTCATCACACCCTTTAGGAAATGTGCATTTCTTTCCCCAAACATGTGTAAAAGAGCCCTGCAATGGATCATTGAGTTTCTTTATACAAACAAAATTCTTTTTAAAGTTTTTACAGAATTTAGTTGCAAAGCTCTTCATTTACCGGTCGCTCTACGATCCTACCCTCATCTATGGTCACAAGCTTTGGAGAGTTCAMAAAAGAACAAGCGACTGAAATGAGTTTCCTCCRCAGGGTGGCTGGRCTCTCCCTTAGAGATAGGGTGAGAAGCTCAGTCATCCAGGAGAGACTCAGAGTAGAGCCGCTGCTCCTCCACGTCGAGAGGAGCCAGTTGAGGTGGTTCATCTGGTTAGGATGCCTCCTGGACGCCTCCCTGGTGAGGTGTTCTGGGCACGTCCCAGTGGGAGGAGACCCAGAGGAAGACCCAGGACACGCTGGAGGGCCTGGGAACACTTTGGGATTCTCCCAGAGGAGCTGGTCCCAGTGACTGGGGAGAGGGAGGTCTGGGTCTCTCTGCTTAGGCTGCTGCCCCCAAGACCCAACCCTGGATAAGAGGAAGAGAATGGATGGATTTGACTTCTCGTGGATTTTAAATCTTTCCACACACTTTCTTTGTGCGGCTTTTCTTTCTTTCAAAAGTCTTACACCTGTCTTGCCTTATTTGAACTTATTTTTTATACCTGTGTGTGTGTGTGTGTGTGTGTGTGTGTGTGTGTGTGTGTGTGTGTG